GCAAAGTTTTAAGATGAGAGTCGCCGCAGAGAGGGCAAGAAGCCTCCCCCCTGATGTAAAACTCAAAATGCTGCTAGGTAAGAAAATAATATAAATAAAAAAATAAAAAGAAATAAAAATAAAAAGAGACAATAAAAAGGAGACGATAAAGATAGAGACAATAGAAACAATATAAAAGGAGACAGTAAAGAAAGAGACAATAAAGAAAGAGATTATAAAGATAGAGACATAAAAGGAGACAATATATAGAGATAATAAAGAGAGACAATAAATAAAGAGGCAATAAAGGCAATAGAGACAATGAAGAGAGAGAATATAAAGAGAGAGAATATAAAGAGAGACACTATAAAGAGAGACAATAAAGAGAGACACTATAAAGAGAGACAATATAAAGAGAGACACTATAAAGAGAGACAATAAAGAGAGACACTATAAAAGGAGACAGTAAAGAGAGACACTATAAAGAGAGACAATAAAGAGAGACACTATAAAGAGAGACAATAAAGAGAGACACTATAAAAGGAGACAGTAAAGAGAGACAATAAAGAGAGACAATAAAGAGAGACACTATAAAGAGAGACAATGAAGAGAGACACTATAAAGAGAGACAATGAAGAGAGACACTATAAAGAGAGACAATGAAGAGAGAGAATAAAGAGAGAGAATATAAAGAGAGACACTATAAAGAGAGACAGTAAAAGATAGAGACAAAGGAGACAGAGACAAAAGAGACAAAAGAGACAGTAAATATAGAGACAGTAAAGACAGAGACAATAGAAAAGGAGACAGTAAAGAAAGAGACTATAAAGAGAGACAATAAAGAGAGACAAACACAACAATAAATAAATAAAAAAGGAGACACCCAAAGCTAAATAAAAAGGCGAAAAAAATAAATAAAAAAGGAGACAAAAAAAAAATAAATAAAAAAGGAGACTGTCTCCTTTCGGGTGTATCTCCACCTCAGGCGGAACAATACTAAGAGACCCCAACAAGGCCCCGCTGCTGCAGCAAGCGCATGCAGCCCGCATGCAGCTGCAGCAGCAGCTAAACTCCATATTCACGCACACAGACATACTGCTGCACCATGTAGGGGGCCCCCCCACGGGGGGCCCCCCTGGGGGCCCCACCACCTTTGGGGGCCCCCCTGGGGGCCCCCCTGGGTTGTGGGCAGCAGCATGTCATCAGCAGCAGG